AAATATAAACTGAACCGTCTATCTAACTGTTCACTGACACAGTGCCTTTAAAATTAATTTCTTCCATTATTTGATATGAATGAGTATGATGCAATGAAATATGCGCGCACCACTGACTATGTACGAGAATGGAATTGGCGATTACATCGTTATGTATTCTGTGTGTGTGTTTGTGTATTTTTCCGTTCGTATATTCCGTTTTCGTTCGAAATTGTGTGTGAGTTGTTTTTCTTTGTTGCTGTTGCTTGCTTCGTTTCTTTACTTAACTTCTTTTATCGGTTCGTTTGCGTTTCGGTCTCTCGCGCGTACAATGTACATTCGATGCAATGCGCCCGAACCGACCGCTGTCTTTTGCGCCGTAGTCGCCTCGTCATAATCATCGTGGCTCATTTGCTTTCTTCTTTGTTCAGTTGTGGATTGTTTTTTAATTGTAATAACGAATGTAAAAAAAAGCAGCAGAAACAGCAAGCAGCCGCAGCAGAAATAGTGATGTGGATTTTTGCCGCTGTAGCTGTCAGCCATTCGTGATGTGATGAGCGAGTTCGCGTACATATACATAATCGCGTGGCCTGCATTCGATGCGGTTTGATGCGATTTCTCTCTCTCTCTCTCTCTCTCTCTCTCTCTCTCTCATTTCTGGAGTGCAGCGATCAACATCGAAGAGCATCTCAGTCCACTGTATTATTGTTTGGCTGGTATTTATGATTGCTTATATATAATGAACTCGAATTTTCGGCGACGGCGACGATGAATGTAAAATATGAAACGGGTAAAACAGAAACAACAGTCGTAAACTTATCAACTTTTAGCCCAACACGAGAGGGGGAAAAAAATCCCAGCAACGGCAATTGCCGAAAAACACGAAACAAATCACACACACACAGTCTGTGTAAACAATTCTTTGATGTATTTTATTAAGTAGTTCTGCTGAAAGAATTTTTTTCTCTGACATTTTTCTCACTTCATAAAGCATATTTTCAGCGAGTACATTGCGTCTCTTTGTAGTCAGAAAGTTTCATTGGTATCTCAGCGTTTGTTTGTTTTTTTTCTTCCTTTTTTCCGTTGCGTTCATTTTTTCTTTCGAGAATCCCGTTTTTCTTTTTTGCAAATAGCCGTTTAGTTCTTTTCGCGCAAGCAAAACGAAATGAAGGAAGAAGAAAAAACTAGTCATCGTCATCGGTCGGTCGTCAGAATGCAATTATAACCTATTTCAATCGTACGGTAAATGCGTGTCTGAATTTCAAATAAAATTCAAGTCGAACACAAAACGGTTAATGGCATTAGAATGATTGTTAGTCGGTTGTGCTGTTAAAATAATGAACTCGCACCGAGTGACGGCGAGAGCTCATCGGTTATCCGCATCATCGATAATAGCCATTCCAAGATTTCTCACACATCAGAAAAAAAGTCAGAAAGAGCAAGAGAGAGAGAGAGAGAGAGAAAAAACGAACGACAATCGACGTCATCAACGTTATCGCAGCAACAGCAGTAGTAGACACAAGCCCATCGAATGATTTTGCCGTTGCTTTCGGTTTGATTCGCGAATCAGGCGCGTGAGCGCTAATATTGAAGTGCGTGTGGCAAGAGAGCAATTGCGAATGGTTGGCAAGCCTACGTGATATTAAATGGCAGACACACTAACACACAATATAACATATGGACATGATGATGTGTGCGCTGTTTGTGTGTGTATGTGTATCAAAGCGCGATGAAACTGAGGAAAAGGGAAACAGTAAAATCTAAACGGTAATTTGGTGCCGTTCTTGCTTGAATACATTTTTATGGGCTTAAAGAGTTGCATCCAGTTGCATAATACTCGCACACCGTTCACTCGTTCATTCTTTTTCTCTCTTCTTCGTTTTTATCACCTTTTTTGCTGTACATTGTCATCGCCGTTGTCGTACGGTTGGCTTTGGCATAGCTTTGAGTTTTTTTTTTCTCTCCATATCTGCGGAAAATTAAGAAGAAGCAGAACAGATAGCGCAGCTACAAAAGCAAAATGTTCAGACACAAACTGAATGAGAGGGAAAAAAGAGAATTGCATTTAACCGACATTCAACCAGTCGAAAGAGGGAGAAGAAGAGAAAGAGCTACCTTGCATATTTTTATACCATCTCGACTCAACTAATATCCCACTATTATATATTCATTTAAATAGTTTGAAACGATTTTTTCCTACTGCACTCTTTCTCTCTCTCTCTCTCTCTCTTTCGTTTTACATCGATTAATTTTTTTCTTCTTCTTTTGTTTGATTTCGTTTTGGTCCCGTTTTGTTTCTCTCTTCCATTTTCCACACGAACAAAATTCGTCAAGTAGTTGCATATAATTTAACATATGACTCCGTTTCTCTTCATTCTCCCCTACTATACGTATTTATTATGCGAAAACAATTACATAAAAAACAACTGAACTAAGAAAATGTGGACAAAAACGCATAAATGATGAAAAACAATGAAAAAAAAACCACGAACAACATGACCATTCGAAATATTATGAATGATGTACACAAAACCTGTTCAAACGATGAAATGTGTGTATGAGATTTACCGCTATTTGGAAACGTTTAACAGCGCGCGCGCGCGCTTCTTTCTTAAACGTTTTACATTTTCCATGTTCCGTCCGATAAAAGTCATAGACATTAAAAATAGCCAGAAATGTACAAAGAGCGAAGCAGACAACCAGACAACAACCACGTATCATATCATGATGTTTAGCAGAAGCTAAGCGAACTATTTCATTGGCGGTATGTGTACATCTGGGCATATTAACCGAACATAATTGACGTAAATCATAAAAATGGAACAAACGTTTTACTTTTTTTTACGGTTCAACTAAAACTACGGTTCATTGAGGCCTTCAAAAGTGTCTTTTGAGAGCGAATGGCAAATTTGTTGTACGCCGCCGTTGACGGTTAGTTCAACTGAGCTCATGTAAATCTCATTGTGTTGCTGCAAAAAATTCGCACGACTGACACTGGTGTCTTTGTGGCGCGGCTTTGTCGAAAACCAAAACGACCAAAAATGATCAAATTCATCGTCGTGATTGCCATAATAGGTTAAAAATTGGCACCGCCGATGGATTTAATCAATATTCACCCTTAAGTAATTGATGTGACTTCCCATTTTGGTTGTGAACCGGACCAAGTATCATTGGGCAACAATGCATTAATCACAATATTTCAACGAATATTAAATTGTATGACGTTTCCATGCATCCAGAGCCGTGAGTTTCGATTTTGCTCGATTATTTTTTTCTTTTTCATGAACTTTCTTGTGAATCAAAATCACCTCCGCCATATGGGCAGTCGTGTCTTGATGACTCTTGCGCCTTTTCTCTCTCTTCTTATCCACTTTTGAATATCTTGAAAATTCGTGCGTGGCACATGTGCCATTCAATCATAAATGCTACGCCTTTGGACTCGGACACATCGAAACAGAAAAAAATATGCAAGCGATTCATCATCGGAAAATCCCAACGACATCAAAATTAATTAAAATTCGGTTCAGCAGCAACTTTCAATGTAAACAAAACCATTTTTATCGGTTTTACAAAAACTGTCAAATGCTACAACACAAACACACACAGCATATTGTGTGTGCGAGTAAGTGTGACTTGCTGCATTTTCTTGGCAAATAAAACCAAAGTCGAAAAATTGCAAACATATCGTGTTGGCGACAAACTCCAAATCGATTTTGTTCCGGTGTAAATTTGCATTTTCTTGACAGGCTCTCTTTATTTTGAGCAACAACTTGGAAAATTGTTTGAATGACGAAAATCACTATTTAATTACTTTGTGTGATTTTTCCGTCCATTCCTTCTCTTTTAATTTCCATAATTAATTTTTGGTCGTCGTTGGGCTTTATGGATATTTTGTCGGCAAATATATCAAATGAATGCATCGTTCAAGTTTTGTATGTAGCCGAAAAAAAACAATCGAAAATGAAAAATTTTCGCGTCTTTTTTAATCAAATAAAAAAACTTCTTTCGAAGTAATTCCTCGTGACGAAAGCGAACACAAAACAGCTGATATCAATTTTAAAAAATCATTACGGAGCGATTCTGAAATTAGTTGGAAGAATGCAAAAAAAGCAAATCGAAATCGCTCCGAAATGATTTTTTAACAAACACAAAGTGGTGTCTGGTAATATTATTTCGTGGAGCCGAAATTACATTTTGTTTTGATGAAATTACATATCGCTTTTATACTATGAAACTATCACATGTTTAGTTTTTTCATGATGAATTTTTTTGATTTTGATTTTTTCATGAAAAGTACTTTTTTGTGTTTTTTGTTGATTGCGTGGAATAAAAAGAGAAGAAGAAACTCATGAACGGATGGTCCAATTTCGACGTTCTTGGGCTTTTTGGAAAGGTCTCGACGAGTAGACTCAGAAAGATGAACGGGCCGCGTTCAACACCCGGTAAATGGGAAAAACTGATAATTGTACATAATTTTCAAGTGGCTATTTCTATGGAGACGGTTGGTCGATTCCCAAGTTTGAATGCATTTTCTGGGCCTATGAGCCAGGGGCTTTCTAGCGATACTTCATTCATACCAGATGGCCTCTTAGGAAAAAAGTTCGAAATGGCGTGTATATATAGGCGAGTTCGACTTTCAGCACAGAGGTGCTTTCGTCACTCGCACCTGCTGTCGCCGGCTGTGATGCGAATTTTATTTACTTTAATGGATTTCACGCATAAATTATAGCCGTTGTCATATAATGAAGATGATTCAAGGAGTAACACGCGCATTTCCTTTAGATAAAATAAAAAGAAAACCGAACTCTGGTCCATTTGTTGACACGAAAGCACTAAAAGTGAATATTTTTGTTATTGTTAATGCCAATATTTTTTCCGTTATGTCCCGTTTTGAGAAACAATTAAACACCAACAACGAAAGAATTATTTGCGTGAATAATTAATTTTAATGGATATTAATGGCTTTGGAATTTAATAATTAATTTGAATCCGTTTTTTCTTCTTGCGTTTTTCCGTTTTAGCTGTAAAATTTGGACGAATGTCAAAGAAGCAAAGGGAAAAAGTCGAAGACGAAGTGCGGTTTCATCGAGCACAAATGCGTGCACAAAATGACGCGGAACGACCAGATAGTTCAGTTTACGATACACAGACTCCATCAAGCAGTGATCAACTACATCATAATTACAATGGGTAAGTGCAAAGTGTTTTTGTTGCAAAAGCGTACATGTATCCAGCAAGTAGCTTCAATTCGTTTCCGAACCTATCGACCGATAGACGGCGCTCGCTTCCAGTGTGGTGAATCTGCGTTGTTGAACTTTTGAAAGCTTTTCGCACCCTGAACACCGAAGCTTATTTTGAAATTTCGTCATTATTTTTTTTCTCTCTCTCTCTCTCTCTCTCTCTCTTTTTCCAGCTACTATTCAAATGAAGTTGAAAACTATGGCAGTCCATACGGTTATTCACAGTCGGTAGCCACACCACAAACGATTGGTTATGATATTTCAGCTGATTTCGTTGACAGTACAACCGCCTACGAACCAAGAAACAACACAATCATCGACGCTGATTTCATAGGAATGCACAGTATGTACCCGAATTGTATTTAACGATTTGATCTCTCTCTCTCTTTCTTTCTCTGGCCCTTCGCCACTTCTTTTCTTTCACCCTCTCTCACTCTCTCTGAATCTCAATATTTTTCACTTTGAAGTCATTATTAGACAGTTCACTGAACCACTGAGGTCCATTTTTTATGAACATATGAATTTGCTGGACAGCAAGGATTTGCAAAATGTTTATTATTAGGCTTGAATGTGATGAGCAAAAACAACAAAACACCTTCGATTTTTCCGCTATATATTTCGCTCAGTCTCTCAATCAGTTTTCTGTTAAGTTTTTTTTTTTCTTTTCGTTTCCCATTTTCCCCCGTTTTCATATGTATATCGGACTCATTGTGATTGCCTGGAAGCACTTCATTCGTTTGAGCATCGCTTTCACTCGACAAATAGAATGTTTATCATGCTGTTGTTGTTTTTTTCTTCTCTCAGTCAAAGTTCATTGCATTTCCCTTTGACAGGAAAAAAAAAATGTAGTCAACAGCCAGTCATGCATGAAACACACTTCTTCGTAGGATCAATTTTCCCACCCAGAACAAACAAAACAAAACAAAATTCCCTTTTTACGCACACAAACCACAAACATTCACAAATGTCCGCAAAATAGGTTTCATTGACACCATAAACAAACAAAAAACAGCAGAGAGTATCATACAAATGTTGACGAGTTTAGGATTGAGTTGTGATTTTCGTTAAGTTTTTTTTTTTGGTTGGCTTTTGGTTCGCAAATGTGTATCGCTTTTGTGCGAATAACAAAATATGAAAAAAAAAAAAATTGAAACTCTCGAAAAAAAAAACAAAAATCGCTGTGTCCTGTCTTCAGCAGGTAGTACAATGAGACGTGGAACACCATCCGATTGTCATACTGATTCGAACACAAGCACAACCGGCGGTAATAATCAAATTCAAGCTCAACAACAGACACAGCCACCATCGTCACAGCCACCAACGGCGACAGCGGCTCAACAAACACAATCGCAACAAGCGACGCAACAGCAACAACCAGCTAACACACAAATCACCACACATCCGAATTATGGAGAAGACGATAGCTCCTGTGATTCGCACTTTTTAGGTAAATTTGCTTGGCTATTCCGGTGTCCGCAGGATAAACGTGCGCAATAATGAACAAACAAACGATTGCATAGCAGCTGCGGACAACAAACATTGCTGTTCTACATGCATCGCTTCGCCCATCTCCCCCAACCAAGCCAACACACACCAACACACATCGGCCACGATTATCTCCAACCATTTTGTTTGGCCACATTTTTGCTCATAATTCATCAAGAATGTTGTTTTCCATTCATTTCCACATTTTATTGATTTTGGCACATATTTTTTCCATGAATTCACATTGTATTTTTTTTTCGTTGCAAATTTATTGATAATATTTGGTTGTTCTTTATTTTTTCGTCTGGCTATTGATTATTTGTTTTGGCTGCCAATAGATCGTCATTTGGATTGAGGCACTCGTTTTATGATGACTTTTTGTTACCTTGTTTTGTTTTTGCTCTGGTTTTCACATATACACATATGTTTTCTTTTTTTATCCAATTTTATTCCATGGATTTTGACATGTGTTTCACTCTCTTCTGTTTGCCCAACCTCAATCGTTAGTTTTGATTTTGGTTTGTCTCCAGATTCCGTTTGGTTGCATGATATTTTGTTGTTGATGTTTTTCTTCCTTAATTTTCAGTGCAAGTCAAAGGGGACAAAGTACTTGAATATAGTTATTCGTCTGGTAATCCAATCTAGTACAAAAAAGAAAATCCAAACAATTCTAAAACAAATGTTCAATAATGCCATGCACAAGAAAACCAATGATAGTTAACTGATTTCGGACACAAATGACTTACTGTGACTTACTTTGATTGTCATTTCAGTACAAAGTTTAGTGCAAGTCTATCATAGTTAACTGAAATCATTTCAAGTTACAATTCAATGGCACTTGATTTGGGACAAAGTGATTTTCTTAGTACAAAACCATAAATTCAGTCAACTAAAGTCAACTGAAGTTATAGTCAGTCAGTCATTTTTTTTCAAACGGTATACACTGGTTTGATAAAGCAAGTCTTGCAATATACCCGGTGCATTGGACGGAGATATTGAGATTTGTTTTGAAATTATTTGGAATTTTCCCCTGTTTTTTGCACTGGATTGAATTACCAAAATGGTTAAATTTTAGTACTTTCTGCCTTGATCCAAGCGCAAGAGCTCTCAATAATAATGCAAATGCTGATTTTATTCGGTCATTATTCAACCTGATACCACCACGTAACAAATTTCTTTGTCAAAGTCCAGCTAAAAACCCTTTTCACCACGTTGAAATTAATCACCTCTACGAATGTCAACCGATTTTTTCCCTTTTGAACCTCCCTGCATTAGTTTTTTTTTTCGGTAAAAATTTGACCCAAATTGAACCCTTTGTAAATAACATTTTTGAAATGCGATCATTCATAAATCAGTTTGCGGTGCGCTCGTTCTTTTTTCTTTGCATAAATACAAGTGGTTTGTTTCTATTTGTTTGATCGATCGTTAATTTGTTTTCCAGTTTTGTTTTATTGTTGAAATTCCCTTAATCAAAATCCAAATCGTATCTTTGCGGTTTCGTTCATTAATTTGTCCTTTGGTTGTGATTCGTTTTTTTCGCTTATTCTGTGACATCAACAATTTTTTATTGTTTCATTAACGATTTATTCAAAATAAGAAACGAAAAATGTTTGAACATTAAAAATAAAATAAGGAGAAGGGTTTTAATGGCATATTTGTTCGTTTTTCTGTCCGTAGCTGAAGGTAATATCAACGATGTTTTAATCAAAACCCTGGCCGAAGCACACGCAAATACTAACCCAAAATTGGAATTCGTGCATGAAATGTTCAGAAAGCCACAGGTAAATCAATTGAATGGCCAACACGCGATGGAAATTCTCTATTAATTTATTCGATTTTTGCATCTTCTCTTTTCATGTTTGGTTTTTCTGTGAAAAATGAAATAAAAAAAATCATCAAATCAATCCATTACTATTCGCCACCGATCGCTCGTATTGTCCAGGATCTATCTCGAATTCTTCACTACAAGAACATGGGCCAAGAAGCGTTGTGGCTAGACTGTGCTGAAAAACTAACGCAAATGATACAAAATATCATTGAGTTTGCTAAACTAATACCCGGATTTATGCGATTGAGTCAAGATGATCAGGTGAGTATTGATCAAAAAGGAAATCTTTTTAATTGGGAATCGAAATTAAAATCACAATTCGAAAAATCGGTTAAAAAATAATTGCACTTCTACGAAACGAATCGATCCATTCGGTTGAATCATTTAATCTATTCTAAAAACATCATTGTAGATTTTGCTGCTGAAAACCGGTTCATTTGAATTGGCAATTGTTCGAATGTCTCGATTAATGGATCTCTCGCAAAATGTCGTTTTATACGGCGATGTATTATTGCCGCAAGAAGCATTCTATACATCAGACTGTTCGGAAATGAAATTAGTTGCATACATTTTTGAGACTGCTAAAAGTATTGCTGAGCTTAAATTAACTGAAACTGAGTTAGCATTGTATCAAAGTTTGGTGCTATTATGGCCAGGTAAGTGAATGCGATCATCGCCGCCGACGTTGCCGCTGATCTATTCATTGATTTCTCTCCAAGTGTATATTTGTCGTCTTTGAATTGTTCATGATTGGTCATTTCAATGAAAATGACAGGGATTCAATAGATTTTCAGTGTATCAGTAGACTGAAGAAATTTTATTGCAAATTTCTATTTTTCATTTACTTTTTTTTCTCCATTGTTCGAGCAGAACGGAATAGTGTTCGTGGCAATACGGAAATTCAAAGACTTTTCAACATGAGTATGTCAGCAATAAAACAAGAAATCGAAGCGAATCATGCACCAATCAAAGGGGATGTCACAGTGCTTGACGCACTCCTCAATAAAATTCCAACGTTCCGGTGAGTTAGCTATCTGTTTTACCCTTCTTCCATCCGCTTGATATCCATTCTCCTCTTCATCACAATTGCATTTTTTTCTATTCTGACGTCATTCATCTAACATTACATTTTTTTTTGCACAAATGTTCTACACAATTTTGCAGTGAGCTGTCGTTGATGCATATGGAAGCCTTAAACAAGTTCAAAATGGAGCATCCGCATTACGTGTTTCCGGCTCTGTACAAAGAACTGTTTTCGATTGACTCACAACAGGATCTGACATAGCAAGATGATAATGATACGCAATCGCCTGAGCATCAGCAATTGCATGAGTAAAACAGCAGCAACAACAACAACAACATTTAACATACACACCACCCACAACAACAACACCCCAACCCACATTATTCAGTCTTTCGTCAATCGGTTTTTTTTTATCACATAGAAATCCTCATCGAGACAGAACATTCTATTGAACAAAATGAAGATTAAAAAGAAGAGAAAAAAAAATGTTTCGAACCAAATTTATCACTTAACATCCCCCATGTAAAATGTATCGCAACAAAGACTAAAAGAAACAGCAGCAATACGAGCATAGTTCAGTCTGTACTGCATCTGACCAATTTAACGAAACGAGTAGCGTTTGAATTCCATTCGTCGGCTGCGAAATCGATGCGAACTGATTTATTTTCGACACTAAAATGAGATATATCAAGGCCGCACACACGCACCATTGTGATCATTTCCATCCATTTTGATCCGTTGTTGGCACATGATTGTTGCATAAATTTTTCATTTAAATGATCGAAATAGCGCGACTGTGAATGATTCTGTTAATTTATAGTTTATCATATGTTATGAGAAAATTTTGAAGAGACGAAAAAAAAACGAATTGTTTGTTATGACTTAAATTATTATGAAGTGTTATATTTTCTTTATTAAATTATTTTTTTTTCTTCGTTTTTTTTCTCAATGTCCAAACATTTTTTTTTTTTTTCAAATGCAAACGATAATCAAATGTGATGATTATTATATCGGTTCCAATTTTTTTTTCTCTGTTCACACCAAGAGGACCGGTGTTCATTGTGATCACAACCATTCGTTTTAGTGGTTGCACATTTTGCCTTGTTGTGAGCTGACCAATTTTTCGAATTTTTATCTTTCTGCTATTTTATTGTGGTAATGATGTGCATATTTTTGCACGTATATCGAAATCAATGTGCAATATGTATTGGAATCAATCATAAAATTATCATATTACCCGTACGCATTTTCAGTTTTTTTTTTTGAAAAAATGGTTTTATTGTTTGTTAATAATTTATTTAGGATGTATTCGATATGCATGTGGATGATAAAATCATCGTGGAAAATTGAAAAAAAAAATCGAAATAAATAGCGCATCAAATGCGAAACAAGGAAACAAAATTTTTGAATGGAATCGACTCGAAATTTCACAAAAACAAAGAAAATGTATGTGCTTCGGTGCAAAATGGGTGGGCATTTTTTGTTTAGAGACAGTGGATCAATCGAAAATTCGTATTCCGAATATATTTGTTATATGCATATATACAAATCTGATGTGTTAGTCACATTTCGTGATGCATGTGTTCAGAAAACAAATCAATCCACGTTGTCACGTTGAAAATGGCCATTTCGTCAGTTTGCTCACACATTTTAAGCCAAATTGATTCGACGAAATTAGTGATTGCAATTAAAACACCGTATTTCTCTATCTTCAACTATGTCGATATGGTGATGTTCAGATCGATGTTGCAGCACCGAATGGAACACGCATCAAAAATCCGGCTTCGTTAGAGAATAAAACATTTTTTTTTTCGACAACAGTGTTATTCAACGGAAATATAAAATGCTATTTGTTATCAAGTAATTTAATTGAATGAAGCAAACAACAACAACAACAACAAAAATCTAACATTAACTTATATGAACGTAAGTGAAAGATAGAAAATAGAAGAAGAAAATAATGAATAGAAAAAAAAACAATGTTAAGAAGAGAAGCGAGGCAGAAATAGAGAGAAAATAAAAAAAGAAAAATTTAAGAAAATTATGCAAAAAAAGTAATTTAATATATTATTAATACTGATAATTATACACTAAAATATGGATTATATACACACACACAAAACACATAAAATTATTTACTGTTATGTTTAAAATTAAATGAATTTATAAAAAAAGTAAATTTAGCGAAAGAGACAGACAACAAACAGAAGAAAAAAAATACTAGAAAAAAAACGTAAACAGACATCCATAGAAATTTGTCATAGGCATGAAGCACGCTTATCATAAAGAAAAAGAAAATAATTATTCGAAATAATCATTTATAAGATACGGTATGGGCTAAAATTCGGCCCATATTTTGTGTCTCACACACACATTCTCTTCTCTCGTCACCAGCGACTATTTCCTCGATTTGACTATATTTTTTTCTTCATTTTTTTTTTTAATAAATGATCATGCAAACACATTTTTTTAGAGGAAAATGATTAAATGCAATAACATCATTCACACACCGACTAATTTCATACTATTTCAACACAAAACTTTTTTTTTGTTTCTTAAGCGAAATGTGTAACGTTAAAACACACACACACACATACACTCACCGCACACTAACATTCATGTTCTCTTTCAAACTCAAACAGTTAAATGTTCATGGTTTCTTTGCTATTCGGATCGGGTAGAACAGAATTAAATTGTTACCCGAATCTTTGTGAAGCGACCAAAAACTTTCAAAATTTCAACTGTCAAAGATCATGATCGTTCATCCGTTCCATTCTCATCCCGGAGATAGCACACATTCATTTACGAATAAATTCACATGCATCTATTTTAACGATGAACACCAAATTACCCATGCAGAATAAACGAGCACACACCGGTTGCCACTTTTCGAACGACATCGCAATACAGTCTGTACATTTCGAAACATTTCATTTGGTGATTGTGCGCGTACATTTGTCTCATTAAACAAACTTTGTTCTTTTTTTTTTTACACATATACATGAATAATTATTATCATAGAGGATATTTGAGAAGAAGAAGAAGAAGAAAAAAATTAACGTAAATTTAATTAAGGAAATATAAAAAGTAATGTAGAAATATCTTTTACACCTTAAAAATTTCGGAACGTGGATGAATTTTGAGCGTCGAAAAATCAGCGTCGATGTTTCTTGATCTGGTCTCGTCGTTGGTTTTCTAAATGAATCCGTACATTTTGTGTATTATACCAAAAGAAAGAGTCGTTTTTTTTTTTTTTTTAAATAATTTATTAAATGGTCGGACCCATTTAAAATCCGCGCGAAAAAGAGATGCAAAGAGAGGAAGAAACCAATTTTTCGATGCTGGGAATCATCTGTTGCTCCACGGAATACACACAGACACAATAAAAAAACAAACTTCGATAAAAAAAAAAATGGAAACAGAAATGAAAAACACACATATATACACAATTGTAATATTATGATTATTATTTTTCAAATATAGGAGTATAAGCGTTAAAAAAAAATACTAGCTTCGATAAGGCGCAACAAACAGAAATGTTTACGTGCTCATCTCATGTGATGGCGACGGGGCAAAAGTTGTTCCATAAAATTGAACTGCAGCAGTTTACATGCATTCCATGGAATGCTTGGGTCAAACAATGGAAGAAATATTGGCTCGAAAAAAAGGAAAGAGAGAAAAAAAAAACAAGAGCAATTGGGATTCATCGAGTCCTGTGGCACATTGTCCATTTGCTATGACATGAGATACGCACATCAATTTCTATCAACATAACAATAAAATAAAATTTATTATTATTACATCATTATTCTAATTATTGATTACTGCTACGCATAGTAAATGTAAAACACATACAAGGAAAGAAAGAAGAATCACACGCAAATGAAAAGTGCAACGCAGAGAAAGGGGGAAAGGGAAAGAGAGAGAGAAAAGATGTGCGAGAAAGAAATGAAGCAAGAAATTATGGAATGGCAGTGATTGGATGAATGTTCGATTTGCTTTGGATTTTTCCACATTTTAAATCACGTTCATAAAAACACACACACATAAACACAAAAAAAAGAACACAAGAAAAGAAGAAAGAGGAAAACCATGATTATATATCGTGCACAATGATTCGTGTGGCGACGCGCGGAATATGTGTGGTGTTCATGTCGACGCATTTCGAAAATCGAACACAAAAAAAAAACAAATATTTAACAACAAACAAACAACAAAATATAAAGACTAAATTTTTTTACTTGATTGTTAGTCAATCCAAATAGAAGTAATTTTTTCAAATCAGCAGTTAATTCAATACACACACACACACAGAATTTTACATTCATTTTTATTCATATTGTTTTTTTTCTATTTTGTCGTCGTCAACATCGTCATATCATACATTTCTTTCCAGTCGTTTTCTTTCTGCATTGAATTTTGTTCTCACTTGTTTTTGTTTTTATTTTGGTTTAAATGTGTACAAAAAAAAAAACGTTTTTCTTTTTGTATAAAAATAGTTGGAATGATATAGATAAATAAACAAAAATGCAAAAACAAATCATCATATTTAATAACAAACAAAAAACATATGGAACTGTTATTCACTTTGTAAATTCTCTAAAAGTTAAACAACAAAACTATTTTTTAGTTTAAATTGAAGAAGATGAAAACAAATGAGTGGCAAAAAAAGTTTTGCATTCTATTCTAAAGTTATTGAAACTGCTAAAACTCACATACATACACAGATACAGACACATACACACAGGAGAAAATGAATGGAAAAATGATTACGAAAGAGCGTTTAACATGGATTTCACCATATAGAACACACACACACACAGATTTCGTTAGCGAAAACTGAAAACAAATGATATAAAACTATTTACGAAAGGAAAATAATGGACGGAAGAGAGAAAAACCGAAGCAACAATCGGCAAAAAATAGACACACAGCAAAACTACCTTACAAAAATACATTCAAAAAGTCCCCCCCCCAAGTCCCACATATTATACACATTTATTTCTTTAGTTAAATTATAATGGCATAACATTTATCAAGATTAAGGTATATAGTTAAAGGAGTATATAAGGGATAAGACAACAAGAATGTAATCAAATGCAAACTCACACAAAAAAAAAACGCATGCAGCCAAATCGAGTCGATAGTTTGACACGGACGGAGATGGATATTATAGTGTTGTGATGCAATTTGAATTTTATGCCAACAAAAAACAATGATTTGGATAGATTCATGCATGAGGAAATGAACCATGTTCGTTTCAGAAGAGTCCAAATGAGAACATAATAACCATGTTTTCGGTACGAGCAGAAAAAAACATTTTTTAATCATTTTCTATATCTTTACTTACTTCATGTGCGCTACACTCTCAGAGATTCTCAACAATCAAATTGTCGAATGATGGTTTTGTTATTGCGCGCCAAAGCAAACGACACATTTCTCCAAGTCATCATAACTCATACAATGCACAACTAAAAACCATAATTACATGCATCGTGAATCATTTCTCTCTCTCTCTCTCTCTCTCTCTCTCTCTCTCTCTCTCTCTCTATTCAGAATTCGTGCATTGATTTTCTCCTTCAAAGATTTCAACTCAATCAATCGTATTTCATTGGTTCGGTGCAAAGTGAATGATTTTTGTGGAACGCTCCCGTCAAAGATTTCGGGTTCCACCACGACAAAATTTTATAAAGAATTTTAAAAAATCAATTCCATAGAAATCGACTCGTGATACTTGTCAACTGTGCGCACACGTTGCGCAAGCGAACTATAAGACTGTTCAAAGAAAAAAAAAAACAAAGAAAAAGCAACACACAAAGCAAATGAATATACCGAAATTCCCTTGCACCGTTGTCGTCGTCATAGCAGACACACAGTCATCGACCATCACCATTGTGTGCTCTCTCTCTACCATCATGTGTGTATGATGCGCGTGTTGAGCGCACACATTATGCTCATGCATCGTCACGTACATTCAAAATCCCAACGCATCTCTTCCTATATGTTTCAAAACTGTCATTTGCATGAGAAATTTGTGATCGATCGCATTTCAAACTAAACTAATTTCTCTCTCTCTCTCTCTCAACTCTATTTCGTGTCATTCTTTTCAATCTCTTTTCCATTCATCTATCTCCGTCAAACGAACAACAGAAAAAAAACATTTGACATTTTCTTATTTTAGCCAAACAAACGAAATTCGGTTAGGAAATGTGAGTAATCGGATAGAGAACTGCGATAGAAAATAAAAATATGAAATTCATGTTTTGATCTAAATAAGTATGACTTTTGTCGGGAGTGAGATATGTTTTGTGTGCAAATAAAATGTTCTATGCAAACACACAAACACACCGAACAGACCAGCAAATAAATTTCAAACACACTGCCTTTCGTATTAGTTTTTGTTTATATATATAAATATAGAGGAAGAATTCTTTTTTTTTTTTTTTTCTATTTTTCTTGATAGGATTTATTTTGATTTGTAGCTTTATTTGCGTACTGGTACCTTTAGATGAATTAGACAAATGTTTCTCCTTTCGTCGTGGAATCGTTGCGAGTTCTTTTTTTTCTTTTCGCTAGGACTCGCGTTGATCACTGTGTGAGCAGACAGGAAGTGAAGCATGAAATGAAATGGCCATTCGATCGAATGCATGTTCATCGGCATTCGATTCGATATGACTAAAATTTTACGAAATGTGTCGTGAATGAATACAAACAACAACAACAACACAATGTTATGTACATTTTTGTTGTCAAATATAAAGGAATGAATGGAAAAAGAACATTCAAAAGGATGAATTTGGAAATCACACTAACACGTACACACAGACACACAAAAAAGCATACACTAAACAGAGAAGAATAAAAACAAAATGTAACACTGTAATATATTAGAGAATGAAATACTTTATATCTGTATATGTAGATTTATTATGGCTTAGGATAAACATGAGAAAAACGAAAGAAAATCGTGAAAATCTAAAACACACATACACACACACTGAATCACACATACATACACACATTTTTGAAAC